AACAAGCTCCGCGATCTTGACCTAGTCCCCGACTACTCCCTTCACGACAACCTTCTCTGCATCGCTACCAAAGGCACTCTCTGACTTTGCATCCCTAACGCACATGGTCTCCGTACTCAGCTCTTGGTCGAGCACCACGACGCCAAGACCACAGGACACCTCGGTTTTCAGAAAACCTTCGACACCATCTCCCGCTACTTCTACTGGCCTTCCCTGCTCGCCGACGTCAAAGCATACATTCGCTCATGCCCCACGTGTCAAGTTGTCAACCCCTCGAACCGGCCAAACCCGACAAGCTCCAATCATTGCCCATCCCAACTCACCGTTGGCGGTCCATCTCCATGGACTTCGTGTGCGGCCTCCCCAAGACCGACCGCCGGCATGATTGCATTTACGTCATCGTCTGCCGCTTGACCAAATGTGCCCACTTCATTCCTTGCACGACTTCGCACAGTGCCAAAGACGTCGCCACCCTCTTCTTTGATCATGTTGCATGCCATCACGGCCTCCCCGTGTCAAAGACGTCGCCACCCTCTTCTTCGATCATGTCGCACGCCATCACGGCCTCCCCGAGAACATCATCAGTGACCGTGATCCCCACTTCCTCTCACAATTCTGGAAACACCTCTTCAAAGCATATGGAACCACGCTCAAGTATAGCACTGCATTCCACCCCCAGACCAATGGACAAACCGAGAAGATGAACGATACTCTCCAAAGAATCCAGACCAATGGACAAACTGAGAAGATGAACGATACTCTCCAAAGAATCCTGCGGAAGTATTGTCATCCACACCAACACGACTGGGACCAGTTGCTCACTGCCCCCGAGATCGCCTATAACAACGTCGTCTGCCCTTCCACTGACATGTCCCCGTTCTACCTCGACCTTGGCTACCATCCTCGCTTGCCCTCCGACTTCCTGCTTCCCTCGCAGCTCAACCCCTCCACACCCTGCCCTTCCCTCAATGAATGGGTAGCAACAATGAATCGACTCCTCAGAGAAGCAACCGAAGCTCTTGAAAGAACACAAGAACAACAAGCAAACAAGATTAACAAACACAGACGAGACTTGCAATTCAAAGTAGGGGACAAAGTCTGGCTCTCCGCCAAACACTTTGAACCCGAACATGGATTGTCAAAGAAACTCTCGAACAAATGGCTCGGACCCTTCCCCATCATTGAAAAAACCTCCGACGTCAACTACAAACTCCAACTCCCCCCTAACATGAGTCGCGTCCACCCTGTTTTCCACATAGAATACCTAAAAGAGTATCATGAATCCCCACCTCAATTCGCTGACCGACCTTACCCCCGACCTCCACCAATCATGCTTCCCACAGGCCCGGAATTCGTAGTAGAATCCATCATAGGACGACGGACTACACAGGTATCAGACCATCCGGAACCTATCAAAGAATACAAAGTCAAATGGACCGGATACCCTGATGAAGAATCTACATGGGAACCTCTCTCTAATCTCAAGAACGCTATGAAACTTGTTCACGCCTATGATCGCGCTCACCCTATATCCTAGATACATCCCCAACCTTAAACCCCTGCATAAACCCCGCCTTGACCCCGCCAAAACCCCGCATTCCTGCCCTACACACACCCCTGTCCCCAGCAAAGCCCTTGCCCCTTGACCTCCCTCTGTCTGATCCGCTCTTGCCTCCGTCTCGCCCCCTTCTCCCATCTGTCCTCCGCCACATCCTTGTCCCTCTTGTCCAAGTTCCCTATGTGGCCCCTGCGCATCGCCGGCGATAATGGATCTAACGGCAAGCGCACGAGGACGATGGCATGCTGCAACTCAGTACGAGGAGATAAGACAGCTGGTTGGCGACCATGCTGTTACCTTTGGCCGGCACCTTGGACTCACAGACTTCTGAAGCAGCACCTCTGACAGGGACATCAAGATCAGTCTGCGACCTGCTATCCAGATCAGACCTCAGCACCAGATCCGAGTACTGGACGCATCCTGCTACTGGGACATTCAAGCTGAAGCTCTCGCCGTCCACATCACAGACCTGCTGAAGACTGCTTTCTCACCGACACTTCGGCGACACCTTTCAAGACCTGTTCTCAAGACATCTACATGGACTGCTACACAGAACTTTCAACCTGTACCACAAATTCCCCGACCCTCAGCAACCCCGCCCCGTACATCGCAAGCCAAATTTCCTTTTTCTTGAGGACCACATAACCTGTTTTGCCCTGAACCTCCTAGTTCATCAGTAGAATTACCTTGTTTCCCCGTTGTTTCCAACCCCTTAGTTCATCAGTAGGATTACCCTGTTCCCTGTGCTTCCCAGCCCCCTTAGCACGTCAGTAGAACTACCCTGATTCCTGCAAAACTCCTTAGCTCGTTGGTAGGATTACCCTGTTCCACGTGCTTCCCAGCCCCCTTAGCACATCAGTAGAAATACCCTGCAAATGATAGGATAACCCTGTTCCCTCTTACTCCCCGACCCAGGCCACCCACATTATACCCCTCTTCCTTTTGACATGTTGACCAGTGATCGGCCCCATCACGTCCTTCACAGACTTCAGCATTGTTTCATGGCTTTTGGCAGCCGGGACGTTGCCTTCTAGAGGAGGGGATACTGTTACGGACTCAGGGCTCGATCCCTGGTCCGTGGGGTACCACCCGCCAGCCTGCTTTTTTTTTTTTTTTAATATTTCCTGCTCTTCGGTTTCTGACTGTTGGCGCCCTCTGCAGTTGGCGCCCGTTTTCAAATTCCTCCTTTCGCACTTTCAGATTTCGACACTTGGCGCCATCCGACATTCTGCCGCCCAGACTCAGACTTTCGATTCTCTGGCACTTCTGCCCTCCGGACTGAACTTGAAACCGGTACTTAAGACCGGACTCAAGCCCAGTACGGGCATTCAGTTTTCGGCCTCAGTGCTTGTGCTTCAGTGTGACTTGCTTCGACATTGTGTTCGGAATCTGCGTCCGTCGAGTCGTGTCGAGTCTGTGTCGAGTTGAGTGAGTGTGTGTGTGTGCTCTCACTCTCGCTCTCTCTCTCTGCCTCTGCCTCGTCACAGAATGAGAGAGAGAATCTGGGGTCTTTTAAAGCAACACACACATGCACCTGGTGTGAACATAGAAGTCCTGTCTATGGCATTTATGGGTAGGTGACTACAACTCCAGCCGACTCTGCAAAATCACGTCCCAGGCATGGATCCGAATATTCGGGCATACATCTTACATCCCCCAGGTCATTTCAATGCCACCTGCAGCAGATGCTGTTAGAGGAGCAACAGCAAGATGACAAATCCAGAATGCACAATCACATTGGAGGCCAGATAGTATCAGTGTCCAGAAAGCAGCATTGCACCAATATGACACCAATGGAGAATCGTAACACTGAAAACCAATGTCAATGAGAGATTGCTCTTGCCACCACCAACACAAGAGTCCAGGACCTTCTCCCTACTTGGCGCTCGGCGCCCAGCCTACTTCCTACACAGCTATTGTCTGCCAACTAATTGACAATGCAACTGTTGACGTCAGCAGCCCACAAAGTACTTGAAGACGTCGCCCATGCAGACCATCGCCAATACCAGGTATGTGCCCTCACATCATCATCATCATCATCATCCTTCTCTTTCTCCCTCGACTTACACCCACGTCTTCCCTCTATACATCCGAAGACCACCCCTGCGCCTCAATGTAGTCCAAGCCCATCCAGCTATGGAGGCTGGGCTATGGCGCTGCCCTCAGCAGCGCCCTGCTTCCTGCACGACCGCCCGTGCTAGCACCTTGCCTCTCAGCGCCAGCAGCAGCCTACGAGCGTCCGCTCCAGCAGCGCTGCAGCCAGCATGCAAGTGCTGAATGCCTCTCCAGGCCGCGAGCTCTTTCCTATATGGAATGAGCCTGGCTGCCTTCGTGGCCTGGCTGGCCTGGGCCTCGGCCCAGAAGCTTCCGCTAGGCCCTTGGAGGCTGCACCTCTGTTGCAGCCACTGGGCCTCGTTCAGTTGGGCCTCCCAACTGTCTGTGTATGAGGCTGCGATTCTCGCCCAGGGCCTGCATTTTGGGAGAGGCCTGGAAGACCGTGGAATGTCTTTGCTCTCAGCCTGTGTTTCCCTCAACCAACTGGCGCGTCACAACTGCCTGAACCCCAAATACGAAATTGACAGCTGAGGTCTCTCGTGATTTGTTAGGCCCACCTTCACTTAGGGCGGGCACATTTGCAACAGGGCCCCCTTAGGCCTGCCGAGGACCCAGATCCTCGCATCTAGCACCCGGCACGGGATTTTGCCAAAAAAAAGGGAAAAAAAAGGAATGGTCAAGCAGCTGTGTGCATTGCGGAGGAGTACGAGGAACCGGAGACACTGTGATTTCGCAAATCTTTTCCGAGTGCATTTTCCAAATTCCATACGGTTTTGAATTTCTGTCAGTTTTATTCAAAGTTCGAATGTTCATGATTTTTTTGTGGTATTTCTGGTAACTACCAGAGAATATCAAAGAGGCTGGTGAGCAAGACTTCTGTAATTGGGGAACGGGGGTTGAAGCCAATCCACGTGCAGCATACAGGAACGAACTAGACACGTCTGCCACCGTAAGCATACTAGTTTTTCTTAAACCTAGTGATTATCAGAAAACTTGACTCCGAGCTTCCTTTGCATCAGTGCGTAGTGCAGTTTGTGTGGTAGTTTGTAACATGTGTGTGTGCAGTTGTTATGGGGAATTTGGATGCTATGGTGCAGTGCAGCTTGCCGGTACGGTTGGCAAAGAACAGAAGATGGAGGCTATGGAAAAGAACGGAAAGATATGAGAACAATGATTTCTGAAAAAAGACAACAAAAGTTGCAAAACACAATGTAACAACAGTTCAGTCAGCGAGCTCATGCAGAGGTGTTTCAGTCTACTTCTCGTCGTAGATATCTGGAACAATGAGTAATGATCTATTGAAGGCGAACCCGTATTCATATTGCTGGCCATGGATATGCGCTTATCTGGTGATGTTCTCTCTGTGGCTTGCAATGTGAATAAATAGTGCTGGTGCTGGGCAAGATGGCCGGCGCTCGCTTGTGCTTGTGGTGTTCATAGGAGGGGTCACATTTGCAGAGATATCGGCACTGCGTTTCCTCAGCAAACAGGTAGTCACCAATCCTCTTCCGGTGAAACCTCCTCTAATCCCTCATACATTTTGAAAGGCAGAGGCAGTGCAATGCACCATGGCTACTCTTCGTTTGCCAGCATAGAACGATGTCACACCTACATATCACTACGAGGACGAAGCGAATGATGGATGGCAGCTGTACACATTCCACAGTGACCTCTTTTCTTCCATTGGCATATCATCGTGGCCTACACGTCTTCTCTCTCTCTCTCTCTCTCTCTCTCTCTCTCTCTCTCTCCAGTGGTCGGTTGGTCTGGCTGGGCGGAGGAGTGTGCTGGTTGGGATGGTCGGCCAGTTGGGCCAGTCAACCGGTCAGTTATATGCTGCTGCTTGTTTTGTTGGTTCTGTTTGCCTTCATATCCCTCTATCCTTCTGCCCCTCCTCTACCGTCAAACCTTCGTCTATCCAACCTTCTGTTCGCCCCTCCACCCACTCATCTATCTGTCCTGTTGATCCCAACATCCATCTTCCTCCCTGCCTGCCTGTGTGTGCTTGCTTGCCTGCTTGCTGGCTGGCTTGCCTAACTTGCCTGCCCGCTTGCTTTGCCCGTTTTCTTTGGTCAGCTGGTCATTGGCTGGATGGTTGGTTGGTTGGCCTGGAAGATTTGCGTTACAAACTGCAGAGACAGTGTTTCCTACGTGTCCCCTTCGTTTCTCTGTCCATCTACCTGCCTGCTTGCTAGGTTGAGTTGGTTTTAGGCCAGTTGGTTGTTGGGTGAATGTACAGCTGGTTGGCCTGTTATGTCTCATGTTACAGAGTTCCTACCCATCCCCCCTGTCCGTCTATTCATGATGCATGCCCTGAGGGAACGGTCAGCAGTGCAAGTACAAAGGATCACTAATAAAAGGAATGTGCAGAAGAAGAAGACCCAATGCATGGCAGTGCCAAATGATAGACGAAGGTCGAGGGAGATGGAAGGAAGTAGAAGACCCAATGTATGGCAGCATCAGATTAAAAAAAAGTCTCCCTTCCACTTCTCTCTCCCTGCAACCTCAAAACGCCCTCCAATTATGAATCTCAGATCTTGAAAACCAAGGAGCTGACTCCCATAGCACCGATGTCGAGTCTCCAGTCCCCCTCTCTCTCCAGAGCAACAAGAAGAACATATGGAGGACAGGATAAAACAACATCCTTGCTTGTCTGCTTGGATCCTTAACTTTGGCTGGTTTTCGGTCAGTTGACTCAGTTGGCCTGTAATAGGTTGTGTTGCAGTGTACAGAGTGTTTCCTTCTGCTGTTACCTTTTGAGCAGTTGCGCTTGATGTTATTTTTTCTTTTTTTTCAGAAAGAAAGAAATGGCAACGGCGTCATCAAACTAACTGGCCCCAGGTAATTCAGAGTTATTTTTTTCATCTGATCCCACCACCATTCGAGCTAAGGTCTGTTTATCAACATCTTACACAGGCTGGGTACGCTCCATGCTGTTAAGTTTATGAACCAGTCATGATCATGAATAATAGTTCGACCCTTCTTGCACTCTGCCTGTGTTGGAAACGCTTCTGCAGGAGGACATGAAGTGCGATTTCATTGTTGCAACGACAAAGCTGGTGAATGGCTCCTCGCTGTTGGAAACACTAACAGATGATCCTCTCAGCTTGAGGTGATATTTTGTTAAGCAGAGTGGCCAATCGCAAACAGCAGTGAAGAGACCTGAACTACGGAAAGGTTTGATGGTGAAGCATTTTGTCCTGTTCTCGCCCTTCTCTCTCTTTCAATGTCGTGACACCACATAGATAAACTCTGGCATTTCAGTTTGTGGATGCATATGGCGTATATCCTCTGCACAGTTTGTTTGCAGAATGCTGAGTGGAGTGCTGGTCATCGCTGCACAGTTGTGGCTGTGCAGCCAATCTTGCCAGTTAACTGATTTATTTGTATAGAATCTATAGATATACTGGCCAAATAAATAGGCAGATTCTATTTTGAATTTTTCCCACATTTGCCTTGTGAGTGCGCGCTTTAGTCTTATAAACTTTCATTACCATCTGACAATGTGCATTTGTAGGTTGACGTAGGCCGAACTAAAGTTGACATCAACAGATGAAAGGTTAGATAGATAGATAGTTAGGTAGATAATCAGCCAGACAAGGTTACAGAGTGCGATGAGGAATTTTTTGCGAAATTCAGTGCAGGTGCCTTTCACTGAAAAATCGGAAAGTTTGTTACAGAAAGTTACAGACTACTGTTGTGATATTGTCTTCACAATGCTCCAGCCTCTTGCACAATTCCAAGAACTGAACAATTCAGTGAATTATAAAATAGACAGGTGTTCCGGAGGACAATAAAAACGTGCACAGACTCTTAAGAATAAAGGGGGGCATCATATTACAGGGCTGGCCATGTGCGTCAAGATACACTTTGAGTGTGTATTGTGACTGGTCTTAGTCGTGAGTTGCCAGTGCTGCCCAGTGAAAAATTTCCCATGGGCCCACTCCAAGAGTTTTCATATTCTTTTGGAACACATGGAGAGGGGAAGCCAAGCTGCTCTCAGGAGAGTGCTACTGGTTTCACACGGCGTCTCTCGCCTTATGCAAATGCTACTGGTTTCATGCAAAGCGTCTGCGGCCTTATGCAAGTGCTACTGGTTTCATGCAAAGCGTCTGTGGCCTTATGCAAATGCTACTGGTTTCATGCAAAGCGTCTGTGGCCTTATGCAACCTGTGGATTCGTGTGCTGCCTGGCTGTACGTGATTTTGTTAGGAACTCAGGATTGGATTGCCTGATTGATTTGGCTGTTGTCTTTGGCTGTGCTGCACGGTGAACTTCAGTGAGTAGGCTCAGAGAGCCTATGGGTGTGAGTCCCATAGGTTGTGGCCACGCAGCCTACCGTGGCCTTCTTTCAGCAGGGCTTTGTTACGACACAAAGGGAGAGGACAATTGTGCGTTGCTCACTAGGGATCCCGGTGGCGCATGAAGGTTCCACGGTCGTAGGCAAGTATGCATTGAACTGCATTCGTATTTCCACCTGTGAACTTGTGCCAATACTCCTTCATTTGGAGTATCAGGTGTGCATTAATGGATGTGCGGGTGAATGTCCGCTAATACATCTTCCACTCATCCCGGGGACCATATCCTGTCCACTCATCCCAGGGACCTTACCCTGTCCACTCATCCAGGGGACCATATCCTGTCGCCACAAGGAGATCGCTGGATTTAGCCTATCCTCGGAAGATTTCCAACCTTGTGTCCGAGATGCAGTTGAATAGGGAGTTCATCAACGCGATGTGTAGGTGGGATACCGGACCAAACATGGCAAGGAGGGCACGAAGCAACGTCTTCTATGTACTTAGGTTGATTATTGACGTACTTACTGGCACAGGTAGAGAACCCATGTTTGTACTGTGTACTGCGACTGAGCGTTGACAGGACGGATCTGTTAACACTTCCTACTTAACCATGTAGATGCGCGGAACCTTGCACACTCTTCAATGTTACGGGGTCATGCTTTGACTGTGCACCCACGTACAGATGCATTGAACCTTGCACTTGCCAAGTAGTGAACGCCTTTAGCTTGGGCATCAAGCATGCCTTGGCTGAGTACAACTCCATGCATCACTATAAATAACACTGCTGATGAAATGGTTTCAAGGAATAATGGGCCCTTGGACTCTTTCGGAAATTGAGTACAAGTTAGTAGATAGAGAATCGGTTTAGACAACACGAATGACGAAAGGTGGGAATAATGCGTCCTTGGAATCCTTTCTGAAATCGTTGTTTCCGCTGCTGCTGCTGCCGCTGCCACTGCTGGATTGCTGGATTGCTGGATTGCTGGATAATTTAATGTTAGGACTTAGGACTCGTAGGAGATGTTCTTTTACTGTTCTATATGAGAGCATTCCTAAAAATGTGTCCAAGAAATTTATATTGTATTGTATTGTTCATTAGACCAACCACCATGGTGGAGCTCGCATCTCACCTCTTAGTCTACAGAGGAAGAATGAAGGAGAAGTTCCACCGTTATCGCTGACAACTCGGAAATGGTGTGCTGATGATGCATAAATGTTCCACCGTCATCTCTTAGTCTACAGAGGAAGAATGAAAGAGAAGTTCCACCGTCATCTCGCTTATGTAAACAAATTGCAAGTACATTTTTCATCTGTATTTACTATTTAATATGTACAATCATTCTCAAGCAGAAATGTGAGCAATGCATGGGCACTTCCAACCTAGAGGCTTTTGAGCAAATCATGACGGGTCTGTTTCATATTCCCTATCGATGGCATGGCATTCTGCATTTTCGTTCACATCGCTTTTGCAAAAACACCCTGTCTTACCAACTGGGCTAGCTCAGTTGGTACACCCATGAACTGGTGAAATACAGACCTGAGTTCAAACCCGGAAGGAATCAGATAAGTGGAAGTAACTCTGAATTTACCTGGGGCGGTCAGTGCAAACTTCAAAGATGATCTCTCAACTTCTCAAGGCTGCTGCACTTTTTAAACCACCACTACCTCCCAACCTGTTTTCGCCGACCCTGATTTTCACTGCGCACAGAGTTTGGCCGAGCCGGGGCAGTTTCATCGAAGAAAGAAGAAGGGGAAAAAAAAGAAAAAGAAAAAGAAAAAAAAGAGACTTCCCGAACGCCTTGATAACCGCCAGATACATTACATTCGTCCAAGCACTTGTGTGACTGTGCCCTCAGTGAGGGCGTGTATGGGAAAAAACAGAGAAGCAACAAAAAAAAAAGAAGGAATCCCTTTTCCTGTGATTGAGGGCAGATACATGATGCTACAGCAGTGAGACAGTTAC